CAATTGAAGGGACGAGACGTAGGGGACGGCCACCTACAAGATGGATAGACGACGTTGAAAAGGACCTCAAGCTATTGGGAGTCAACCGATGGCGGGCCGTCGCACCGGACAGGGCCAGATGGAGGAAAATCTGCGAGTCAGCCTTGGCCTGTGAAAGGCTGTTGAGCTTATGAAGAAGAAGAATATTTCATAGCATACAAGCAGTTACATTGTGAAAAACACAAATGTTCAATATAATAAACTAAAAGGCTTCATAAACTAAAAAATTTTTAAAATGAAAAATACCACAGTGAAATAATTAGCATATTTATCAAAAAATGGTAATAGGTGGCTAATAAGCAATTGCCCTGTTACAAAACATAATTACCAACAATTATGAAGTGATTCAGTAACACCATGTTTTAAAGTATACAAGAATCATTTTAGAATTTACGAATGTAATGACCTCCCTCACTTGTGCAGGTGAATTTGGTGTTACTGGTGAATTTGGTGATTGAAAAAATGTGCATGAATTATAACTTCACTTATCAGGTGAATTTGGTCCCAATACAGGTGTCAATAAAAAAGGCTGGCATCCATAACCATTATCGCCTAGGAGATGATAGTTTTTGTTAATGGGTTTTGTCTGTAGATCAAAACAGACAGCACTATTACTGAAAATTGTGCTGTCATGCACAGCTCCAGGCCACCTAGCCACAACACTTCTAATTAACAAGTCTGCATCGCAGATTGTCTATGCTGCATTCGAAGAAAAAAAAATCCTTCCGACACCGGAATCTTTCAGCATCTTCTCCACCAGGAGAGAGAATCTTCACATGAGAATATTCTATTGCTCCTATCACTCCAAGAAAGCCAGCTACATGAAAAAAATTTTGAAACACCTAATGGGGGCAAAAATGTCTATGAATTATAATTTCAGTTATATTAATTATTTTGGTGAAGTCTCAGTACTTTCTGTAGCTCTCAATTGTGATTGAGAACTTTTTGCACTATTATTCAGATATATGAAGTGGCTGAGACTTTTTTTTTTAGATGTAACGTTGTAACTTTTTTTTATAGTTGGATGTTAAGAATGCTCGTAACAACTTTTATGGCTAATTATAAATGGTGTGTAAAGAACAAAATGTAGCAATTATAGTTTCTAATGACATAATTTTTTGTGATTTATATATGATTAGCAACAAAAAAAATTATATATACAGTGAAACCCCGATCTTACGTTTCTCAGGGGACTGGGTAAAAAAAACGTAAAATACGGGAAATACTTAGATAGCAAAAAATCATATAATAATAATGGGAAAATAAAACAAACTAAAGGTAGTAAAGATAACTCTTTCAAAAAGTACTATTAAAATCTATATTTCACGAAAAAATTCAAAGAAAAAAAATCCTTACGACACCGGAATCTTTCAGCATCTTCTCCACCAGGAGAGAGAATCTTCACATGTGAACAATCAATTGCTCCTAGCACTCCAGGAAAGCCAGCTAAATGATAAAAATTTTGAAACACCTAATGGGGAATCTCCGGGGAGCGGCCCTTGAAAAACATCACAGAGAGGGACCAGCTCGAAAGGTATAGATCCTTGCCACCCCTGGGCAAATATGAACATGTGTTTATAAAAACATTTTTTCAAGTTTAAAACCTAAATAGCACTTTAGAAATTGTAGTTGGCGCAAAAGATCGTGATAAGGAAGTATCCCTATATTATCCATATATTGATGTAACAATATATTAGAACATATTTGTTTTGTTTTTCAATTAAATAATGACCTCTTACTTTAACTAAGAGAAATTACTATAAATTGGAAAATTTTACATATCTGACTATCTTACATATTTACAGTATTATCTTGAATGTAAGTGATAAAAAAAAATAATTTATAAAATGCATTTCTAAACAGGTGCTTAATTTCATAGATATTAATTGCTTTGTAGGTGTAAGCAAGTTCAATAAAATAAATTTCACTTACCTCTTCACATTCTTCTTTGGTCTTTGGCAAGGAAATAAATTCCTTGCGCAATGATTTGGCTGACTCTGTGGACAAACTCTACAGATAGTAGACTGGCTCACCTGGAAACAATCTCTCAGGAGAAACTGAAAGCTTCCGGTGGCATAATAACAAAGTGCTATAATCATTTGTTCCAAAGGTGACAGGGCATTGTTTAGAGTCGATGAATAATGTAAATCTTTTTCTACGATGGAGACTAATGTTCTAACTCTTACCTTATCCAGGCGAAATCTTTTTTTAAAATTTCGAAAAACAATTAGCAAATAGAAACAAAAAAGAACAGCAGAAATATAAAATATACCGACGAAGTAAATAAACATTCGTTTATTGCGCATGCGCAGTTACTCTAACCGGGAA